ACCAAAAGAAATTCTTAAAACAACATATAAAATTATCGAATTCTTTAAATAAAAAGACTGTAAAGGGGTTTCTCTTTCTAATACGAAAGGATGGATTCAAACCAAATTTCATTAGGCCATTATGATATCGAGCTCACTGTGACCTCCTGGAAGTTCCTTTAGGATGGCCACTGCACCCTCTATCTCCAATTTGTTACTTTGAGAAACCGACAATGGTTTAATTATCATAGTCTCCATTACAATCCATTGCCTAAAACGCGAGGCTAATATAAACTCTTCTTTTGAACCGCTAAAGTTAAACAGCCATACATTAAAAGTTAAACAGCCATACATTATCTGCACTGAAGTAAACGTCTGAAAATGGTTTTGTCTCTTCCCAAAACTTCTTCTGTCCTCTTCCAGCAGAAGTCTCAACTTCCTCCCTCGGAGTATTGCTTTTCTATACAGTAAAACCTCTATAAATTAATAATATTGGGATCATGATAATTTATTAATTTATCGTGATATTAATTTATCTATAAATTAATAATTATTAATTTATAGAGAAATTTTGTTTTCCGCATTTAATTTTCTAAAAAAAATTTTGGTAATAATGTTATATTTTAAAATTTTAACAAATCTCATGATATAAATTATGATTAATCATAACTATCACAATAAAATATTTTTTAACACCCTATTGGATTGTCCATGTAAAAATATACATGTTCATAAGTTTAAAATTTATTAAAAAAAACCATGGCTACTATCAGTATTACTGATAATAAAATTGAAAATAACACTACAATACATTTAAAAACACTTAAAGATAAGAAAATCAATTATCACATTAAAAAATCATCATAAATGTTACATGTATATAGTAAAAGAGCAATAAAAGCTACTGATATAACAATTAGAGAGATGAGAACCAATGAGATATCAACTTTAAGTAAAAATAAACACATTAGTCATATTTTAGAATTATATTTATATATATTTGCATAAATTTATATCATTATTAATTTATGTTTTTGTTGGGACCATAAATTTACATAAAGATTTCAAAAAAATTTATTATCTTATTATCTTATCGAATTTAATGGATTTTTACATTGGTCCGACTTGGGACCAGCAAAATTTATTAATTTATAGTGATTATTAATTTATCGAGTATTAATTTATAGAGGTTTTACTGTATATGCAAAAGAAAAAAGGAAAAAGTCAAAGCACGAAATGAACGCTATGAAAACCAGAAACATGGCTAATATTCACATAATTTTTATTCAAAGCATGAAATGAACGTACCTCGAATACGATCTCAAGCTCTTCCATTTCTCCAGGCCATGCAGCTAGATTTCTAGTATCTCAACTTCCTTGGTATTTGCCAAGTTTACACTTACCGACATCGATGCAAATGTTCTCTTAAATGTATGTCCAATGCTCTTTCTCTCCTTAGATTCATAAACAGTTTGTTAAAGATGTCAAATTAAGTATAGATTAGCATCATTTCGTTCTCTACCAAACCACAATGAATGCAAAAAAAAATAAAAAAGTATATTTTATATATATATATATATCGGGGCATGATATACTATAGCTTGTATAACAATATAAGTTCCTGTAGACCACTAGTTTCTGTGAAACTGGAGTCTAGGATTTGCAATGACGACATTCTTTATCTCAGATGAGAGATCTCCGATTGTAAGGATATCCAGATTTGGTGAAGTTATTTCAATGCCATCACTTTCATAACAGATAGATATCTATTATATAAAAGTTGAGTTGTGTCTCACAATCTTGACACATCAGCATCTATTATTTTGACACATCAGATTTATAAAATAATTTATAACTTATTGTATTGATTTTTAATTTGTTTAGAAAACACCAAAATCCTAAATCATTAAATACAATACAAAAAACTCTTAGGAACAATAAACTTCTTATATTCTTTTATTTTTTTTTTTGGTTCAAATTCTTCTCCTTTGATTTTAGTGAGAGAGAATATACCATTACTTCTTCTTATTCTATTGATTATTGATGAAGATAGTCCAACAAAAAATCAAAGTCCAACAAAAAATCAAATGTAATTTGAGAAAACAATAAAATATCAACTGCATAATCTCTGAAAAGCTTAATGAATATCAGGAAGTCAACAACATAAAGTTATGGAACTAAAGGTGAATGATCATCTCTTTGTTTATAGCCTACATTTGGATTACAAATCTTTATAGTTTGTATGTTGCCTTCAGATTTTAAATCTTGACAAATCTTTGTTCTGTTGTAATCAAACTTATTTGTGTGCTCAAAAGTCCAAATAATATCTCTTTAAAAGGAGTCAAGAAGATGAATACAAAATATTTAAAGAAAAAAAATTTTAGTTGTAATGACTAATGATGACTAAGGAATTTTTGTTTTGTAAAAAGTCGTATTTCTCTCATGCAACAAATTATGGGAAGTAATTGTAAAATTTACTAATATGTTTCTCTTATGCATAAAACTTCGCAACTTTAGACGTAAAAACCAAAATTTGTAACCAAATGAAGGGACTGATAAATCTTATTAACTTTAAAATTAGAAATAATACAACTAAAATCATGGAAGTAAGTAACTATTTTGGAAACAAATTTAAATAAAATAAAAATCCCATAATTGTAGAGATTGGATTTTTAAATTATTTTTTCGTATTCTATAGTCTTTTCAGACAAATTTCATAATTGTAAGATTTGGATTTTAAATTTGTTTTCAATTTTTATATGTTTCTTTGCCTAAAGTTGTAGATTTGGGTTTATATGCCAATTTTCTGTACCAAAGTTTTCTACTTCTACATAAAGCATCCCAAAAAGTAAAACAGATGTTAAGAGGATAAAATTATGTGACCAAAACCTCGATAATCTTTTCAAGTATGCAAGTGTTCTTAAGATTTAGCATATGGAACTATGGAACCATAAGACGTCACTTTGAAAAAATTTGGGCTGATAGTTTTTAAATTCGCTTTAGTTACCGAATATTAAAGATAGCGATTAAATTCAAGTGAAAGATTTAGCATAGAAGAGTACTATCTCCAACATGAGATTTATAATGATTTCATTCTAAAAACTTGGTGAAGAAAAATGGTCATGGGTTTAATACAATTTGGGATATCATAGTTAGAACTCCATAATATTCATTTTTGATTTCAGAAGAGCTTGTGAAAGCCTTTACCAATTAAAATAGAAAAATCCGAATAAATTTATCTATTTATTTATAGGATATGCCTCTTGAGTTTATAACCATAAGTTGATATTTTATACTTAGTATTTGTTGGATTATCAACTCTAGATTTTGTTTAGTATAATATGTGTTTGATTAGCTTCTTTGAAGACAAAATAATAGCTAAAAATAAACTAATAAAAAAATTATTTTTAAAAGAACTATATAACAACTTTTTTTTACATATATATGATAACATCAAAAAGAAAATTCTGAATTGAATTTATTTAAAGTTACAAAAAATCTTAAAAATATTTTAAAAAATATAAAAAAAAACTCTGTGCATTTGCACGGGTAATCATCTAGTAAGAACTTAAAGTTGGGGTTCTCAATTGTTGATATATGAATATCACACAAGGGGCAAAACATTAATTTAGATCGAAAACTCAGATTTTATTAGATCGGTCGAAATATAACTGAGTTCGTTTATTTGAGTAATAAACGAACTAAGACTTTAGAAACTAAGAAGCTAACAAATGGATTGAGTTCTCGGTCTCTAAGTCTCTTGGGAATTTCTTGTGTCTTCTGGTGTCAATTCCTCTTCTTTTATATATACACTCTACGTCGGTCTTTGCGGGTCTCCTCTGTGATATGGGACCGAGAAGACTTTTCTTTTTCCTCAGTAATTTCCTTTTTCCTTGGTAGTTTCCTTTTTCCATTTGGAAACTTTTCTGTTTTATCCGAACTCAAGATACTTCTCGATTCCTTCGAGAAGTTTCGACCGACTTTGGCTTATCGGGCCATGTTCGGCTCAAGAGCTCGCCCGGTCCAATTTTTTCGATACAATTCATTCGTCAACCGGGCTTAATTTGTGCCGATCTTGGTTTGTACCGGAGAAAACCGAGAGTGTGGTTTTCACTTCCAATAGTTAAACCCCCCCCCCTCAGTTCGGCGAAAGGGGGTTGCTTTTGGTCGAACTTATTCGAGTCATTTCCCAAAATTAGGTCACAAACCGAGCATGGAAAATTCAGTTCATCCATTTTCTCGGGTGTTTCATAATTCGAATTTAATGTAGCGCATGAATTCCGAGATTTCACGGAAATCGAGGAACCACGATTCCCACTGTTTATTTATAAGAAAAACCTACCTCGCATTCATTATTCTTGCATTCAGCATATATAAGGTACGTCGCTCTCCCTTCTCTCTAGTTTTGTTTCTCTCTCTAGATTCTCCACTCGCAGATCTCGTTAGTTCTCTCTAATTTTTCGCCGTGCTCTTTAAATTTCTCGGTGAACCTTCAAATTTTTCCGATCAATCTTCAAATTTTTCTGGTCCACATTCAAACTTTCCGATCAATCTTCAACCTTTTCCTCATTTTCTTCAACTATCTTTCAAATATTCTTCCGACCTCAATCTACCGAACTAAAATGTCTTCCGGCTCTTCATTTAATTCCTTTTCCCATCAAATCCGGAGGATCGTCGCGATCCTTCAGAGCCGAGCTCCTCTTCATCGAGCCCTTCTAGGTCGACGAACAATCCTCCAACTCTAGTTCGCAAAAACTCTAAGTTGGTGGGTGCCAGCAGCAGCCGACCTCAACTGAGAATGGAGGCGCCTGAACAATTAACAGCCGAGACTCGTGAGACCGGAACTCGGGTCGCATAAGACGCTGGAGACGGTGATAACGAAATCGAGGAGGTCGTTGAGCTCAAGAGGAGGACTCCTGAAGAAGGAAACAACGCTGAGGCCAATGATGGCGAAGACAACCCCAAAGCGGTGAACGCTGCCTTGCCACCAATGCCAAAACAGAAAGTTGTCCGGCCTTGCGATGTCTCCAACGGTGATTCGCTCCGCACTCGAGGCCTGCAGACTCACAGATGACGCTGTCTTTATCACTTCCGACGCCGGAGATCGCCCATGGGACGTCCCCGAAGACTTCATCTGCATTTACTTGACCTACTTCACGCAATGCGGGCTTACCTTCCTGATTCCTTTCCGCCTTCTTGGATACTGTAATCGTCGAGGCGTAGCTCTCACTCAGATGATGTCAACGTCAGTGACAAACTACACAGGCTTCCGATCCTTGTGCGGCGAGCTCAATGAAAATCCAACTAACCGACTCTTTGAGGACCTTTTCTCGGTTAACCTGCACGCGTCGAAGGATTGGTATTTCGCAGCTAACGCCAAACCTCAAAAAGATATCGTCACCGGGATCAAACCCAGTAAATACAATGACTGGGAGTCCCAATATTTCTTCCTCGAAATCAATGAGCTTACAGTCAGCGATGTTGACATCCAAACTCAATCGGAGTGAAGATTCCGATCGGTAGCTTTAGACGATCCCATTTTTCTTTTGACCACCACTCGCATATTTTTCTAACTCTTTTTGGCTTATCTTCGCAGGTCGTCATCTTCCAAGTCGTCTACTCAATTCCGGACTCACTCCGGAATTCCAGGCAGCTTTTAGTGAAGCCAGTAAGCGTCGCTCGCCCGAAGCTTGGGAGGAGATATTTCAACGTCGAGCTACGAAATTAGGTAAAAATACTTAGTTACTTTTCCTCTTCTACTTAAATTTCTCCGAACTCCTTATATTCTTTTTGCCTTTCAGCCTCAGTTAAGGAGCCAAAGCCTCTGAAACCAGAAAGCCGAGCTAAAAAGCCTCGTCGTCCTCCTAGACGGAAAGCGCCGAAACCAAAAAAGAAGCGTTCGACAATGCTTTCGTTGGATGAAATCACAACTTTCTTAGATGATGACGAGCCAAACGATGCAATGCTAAATCATTTTCCCACTACTAAAGGGGACGAACAGAGAGATGAGGAAATGGCTCCGATCGCGAACTCACCTAATCCGACGGGTCAAAAGAGATTAAAGAAGAAGACATCCTCAAAGAAGATCAAGAGGATCGAGGGCTCTTCTCATCCTCAGGAAACAGCCGCCAAACTCAACCCTCCGGTCCCTACTGCATCAGAGCTCGCTATTCCTTGGGATCAGGCTGAAGCCTCAAACACGAGAAAGAGGCAAGAAAGGGATCACGGCGAGCAGTCCTCTCAGTCAGAGCCGGTTAAAGGGGCCAAGGTCCGCTTTGACTATGACGACGAGGGTCCTTTGGAAGATAATATCGACGCTTGTGCTGAGCTCTACCACAAGATCTCAAGCGAGGTCCCGAGTCTGCCGAAGATCTCCGAGCTGCGGTTCCTGAACCTGTACAAGGGAATTGCACACACAACTGCCTTGGTAACTTTCTAATTTCCCCCTTTTTTCATTTATTTCCTAAGTATCAGTTCTGATTTTTTTTCTACTTGCAGCTCGCTAGTCAGACCAATACTCTGATCGCAAGATATAAAGTTGCCCTGTATGATGATCAGGTTAGGGTTGCGGAGCTGGAGGATCGGATCTCCAAAGTCGTCGAACGCCTTGCTACCGAACTCCAGATAAACAACGAACTCCATAATGCTGTCGATCTGCTGAAGCGGGAATGCTCGGACCTTAAAGCCGTCAAGGCTGAACTGACGAAGGCTTAGGCCCTCTTATCTCGGGAGTTTAAACAAGACAAGGAACGGTTGCAGGGTATGGTAGCTCTCTGGAGGGATCGGGCAAAGAAGGTTCACGCTAAAGCTTGTGAGCATTTGAAAAAAGTCATCAGAAGTTTGGATGATGCCGATCGTGCTCATAAGTCTTACAAGGTGGTGATTCAGCTCACCGGAGTTCTCGGCTTCATCAAAAAGCTGAAGAACAAAGGTCTGTACGAGGTCCCTCCCAAGATGGTGGCCAAGCTAGAGGCAAAGCACGCAGCGGCACTGAAAGAGTATCATTCTGCCAATGCGTATGTCCAACTGAAGATGACAAACGGATGTCGCCACTTCCTGAGGCTGATGAGGAAGCTCCCGCCGAAAATCCAATCGGAGGAGGACAAGAGCAGGCAGGAATTGAGCAATTCAGCTCGAACGAAGACAAGATCAATGCGGTTCAAACCGCTGCTTCCAAGACTGTTTAGTCCCTCTATCTCTCTTTCTTCTTTTAATCGAACTCAGTTGCCCTTGATGGGTCTTTATGTTTTGTACGCTTTTTTTAACCCTTGGAGGGTTTTCTTTTATCTTTTGAACTTGTCTGTCCTCGGTGGGTGATATATCATGGTTTTATGGTTTTTAACCATGGTATATGTCTTATTTATAGAGTCTTTTTAGTGTCTTTCGAGTCTTTTGGAGTCTTTTCAGGTCATAGGTACGTTTGGAGCTTAACTGGAGACTTTGGAGCACTTTGGAGCTTAATCAGGATCAAATTCGTCAAGTATGGATTTTGTGCTTTAGTGACGCTCGACACCATGGAGAGTGACGCGCGACACTTGTCAGAGAAATAAGGAAAAGGCGATTTTGTTTCCTATTTGAAGAAGGAGTTGGGCCCAAACGTTTTCAAGGAAGCCCAAAACGTGTCTTAGAGATATATATATATAGGATTTTTATTCCCTTTTTACGGACACACTTTTAGATTTTAGAGAGAGAGATACTCTGAGTTTTCGGCTTTTGCGATTTCTAAGCTTGGGGAGACAAGTCTGTACTCTGTTCGTTTAGAGAGAAGATTTCGAACCCCTTTATCTATTTCGATTTATTCTATTGCTTTCTATTCATCATGTTTGTTATTTCAATAACCATGTCTGAGTAGATTACCTGTTAGGTTTAGGGTTAATTAGGGTTTTCTTTGAATGTTTGATTAACTTGCCTGTTAGGGTTCATATCTATTTGTTCTTCACCTTAGGTTGTTCTTAAAGCTAATTCTGGACTGATCACCTAGAACTTAGATCTTAGGTTGCTTAATTGACACGGGAGTGTAATTGAATAACTCGAAAGAACCTGAGTTGAGCAAAGTAACTATTCGCAAAGGAATTTGGTTTAGGAGCTTTGTGAACAAATCGAACTTGTGCATTAAGGCTGGTTTAGATCTGTAGGATTTACAAAGGAATTTGGAATTCTAGGATTTTAACTTAGATAATTCTCACAACGGAAGTTGGTTAATTATAGTTCTGTGTTTCGAGTTCAAGAATCGTGCTTAATAACTGAATTATGACTTGTTAAGTTGATTTGCATTCATTGATCTCCTGAAAATCACCCTAGACCTATCCTTCATCACATCGAATTTACAATTGTCTTCATTGCTATTCTATTTACTTTTGTCGCAACACTATTTATTTCGCATATCTTGGCTTAGCGTAACTCTATCTACATAAGGTTTATTGAGTGACTTCTTGTCTCTGTGGTTCGACCCCTAGATACTACAACTGCACATCTGTGCTCTTGCAGAGTAGCTTAGGGATTTAACTTTGAGCATATCAAGTTTTGGCGCCGTTGCCGGGGACTTGATTTCGCCATTAAACCTAGTTTTTGAGTTTCGACTAAGTTTTTCGACTTAGTGTCGAGCGATACCACTTGTGGTGTCGCGCGACACCTTCTTTTCTTTAACCTAGTTTACTTATTTTCGTTTTCTCTCTTTGTTTTTGGTGTTTCAGGTTTATGCATACTCGTGGAACCAGGAGCAACAAAGACACCCCGCTAGTGAATTTGAGCAACGAACAGCTAGCTGAGTTAGAGCGAACGAAACGGAAAGCAAGAGATCCGGCAATGATGGAAAACGCCAATGGACTTGTTCGTGATGATGATGGAACCTGGAGAGACCGAGAGGGTCATCTGTGCAATGCGAGAGGCCAAAGGATTGATGGAGATGGTAACATCATTCCACCAGCTCCTTTACCAGTGGATGTTGTTGACCAGAATCCACCACCTGCACCGCGTGGGAATGCTGTGATTGTTCCAAATCAGAGGAACGTTCCAGAGGATCGGAATGCGAGGGAACCTGCACCTGCAGTTGGACGTGGACGAACACTTGGAGACTACAACAGGCCTGAGCAGTTCTATGCAAATCGTTCTGCGATTCGCGCTCCTGCGTTTCAAAGAAACGATTTTGAGCTGAAGCCTGTGTACTACACTCTTGTGGGTCAGCATCCATTCCATGGCCACTCTCATGAGCACCCTATGGATCACATCGAGAGGTTTGAGGATTTGGTCACCAGCATCAAATACAATGGAGTGTCCAATGATTTCCTCCTCTGCAAGCTGTTTCCTTACTCTCTTGCTGGAGAAGCAGCTAACTGGTTGAAGCAATTGGAGCCAGGATCACTCACCACTTGGGAAGAGACCAGGAACGCCTTCCTGCACAACTTTTTCGACGATGCTAGGTCTGAGGAGTTGAGGACGAAAATTTCGACTTTCTCTCAGGAACCTACTGAAGCGTTCAAGGCTTCTTGGGTGCGATTCAAATCGTACCAGCGAGACTGCCCTCATCATGGTTTCAGCGATGTGCAGTCGCTGGGTATTTTCTTCAGAGGCATCGACTGGAGGTATCAGATGGCGCTTGATGCAGCAAGCAATGGCAACTTCAACACTCGATACCCAGAAGAAGCTGTTGAGCTCATCGAAAACTTGGCATCCAGTAATAGCACCAAGAATGCTGATCTTGAGCGAAAGAAGCAAGCTGGGAACATGGATAGATCGCAGATCGCTGAGGTGAAAGCTAAACTTGATTCTGTGCACAGCCTTTTAGTGGGTAAGAAATCTGTCAGATTCGCACAGGAGGTGGAGAGTTTCGAACCTGAGGATGCAGCTGAGGAAGAGGATGTCAACTTTGTCAGTGGATCAGGATTTCAGGGTCAGAGGTTTGGTAATCAGCAAGGTAACAGAAGCTACAGTGGAAATTACAGTGGAAACAATCAGAGGAATACCTTCAACAGTAATCAGAACTTCTCTGGTTACACGCCTAAGCCTCAGTACCAGAAACCTTTTTCGAGCAACACTTTTTCCAGAAACTACAGCACTCCTTCATCTCAACCTCAAAATCCTGACAATGAGATGAAGTCTATGCTGGAACAGATTCTGGAAGGTCAGCAGAAGCTCACCGTGGACTTTAATGGGAAGATGGATGCTCTCTACCTCGATTTGAATGGAAAAATCGAAGCTCTGAACACCCATGTCAAGCAGCTCGATACACAGGTAGCCCAAACTGCAGGTTCTGTTAAAAGGCAAGAGGGTTTTCTTCCTGGGAAGACTGACACCAATCCAAGGCATCACTGCAGTGCTATCACGTTGAGGAATGGTAAAAATCTGAGTTCTGAGCCCACGAAGACGCCTCCTGCACCTGAAGTCGTGGACTTAGAAGATTCTGAGGCAGTTCCTGAGATTGCAGAGCCGGTGACGAGCGACACCACCACTAGTGTCGCGCGTCACCAATTGCAGAGCGAAGCTGTTGATGCTCCGAATCCGAAATCTGCAGAGGAGAAAGTCTACAAACCTAAAGTTCCTTACCCAAGGAGCCCTAGGAAGTCCAAGCAAGAGCTTGATGATGCACGATGCAAAGCTCTGATGGAAAAGCTTGTGATTGAGATACCTTTGGTTGATGCTGTAAAAAGCACTCCTGTCATCAGACGCTATGTGAAACGAATGGTAACCAATAATCTCAGCCATGAACAGGGAGTGATGATGATATCTGAGCAAGTCAGTGCAGTGATTCAGAACCGAATTCCAGAGAAGCTATCTGATCCAGGAAGCTTTGTCTTGGATTGCTCTATCTTCACAGAGAGATTCAAGAGATCGCTGTGTGATCTGGGTTCAAGTGTTAATCTCATGCCTTATTCGGTAGCTGTCAACCTCGGCATGACTGATTTCAAGCCAACAAGGATCTCCCTCATCCTAGCTGATCGTTCGACAAGGATACCTGAAGGGGTGCTAGAAGATGTTCCAATCAAGGTTGGAGACTGCATGATACCGACTGACTTTGTGGTTTTGGAGTATGGAGAGGAGCCTAAAGATCCTCTTATCCTTGGGAGACCTTTTCTAGCTACAGCAGGTGCTATCATCGATGTCAGGAAAGGCAGGATTGCTCTGAATGTTGGAGATCTGGTAATGAACTTTGACATGGACAAGCTGATGAAGAAGCCCACCATCGATGGTCAGACCTTCTATGTCGACACTCTCACAGAGTTTGCTGAGGAGTTTTTCCATGAGATGCTTCCTACAGACCCACTTGAGAGAGCTTCGACCACATCTGCATCTGAAGCTGAACACTTGGACGAACTTTCAGCATCTTACTCAAAGATGTTGGACTCTAGCGAGCATGTGTTGCAGCTGGCATCGCAGGTTGAACAGCTTGAGACTCCTGCAAAGGTGAAGCAGTTATCCGACTGGAGTGAGGAGAAAGCACCTAAGATTGAGTTCAAACAACTCCCTGCAGGACTAAGGTACGCATTCCTAGGCTCTAATTCTACTTATCCAGTCATTATCGATTCTTCTTTGAACAATGCTGAGGTTACCTTACTACTGAGCAAGCTGCGCAAGCATCGCAAAGCTTTTGGCTATTCTCTTGATGATATTTCAGGTATCTCACCAGACTTGTGCATGCACCGAATCCACCTGGAGGATGAGTCGAAGTTGTCGATCGAGCACCAGCGCAGGCTGAACCCTAACCTGAAAGACGTCGTCAAAAAGGAGATCATGAAGTTGCTGGAAGCTGGAATCATCTATCCAATTTCAGATAGTGCCTGGGTGAGTCCTGTGCACGTGGTTCCCAAGAAAGGAGGGGTTACAGTTGTGAAGAATGAAAAGGATGAGCTGATTCCGACGCGCACAGTGACTGGACACAGGATGTGCATCGATTACAGGAAGCTGAATGCAGCAACCAGGAAAGATCACTTCCCATTGCCCTTTATCGATCAGATGCTGGAGAGACTTGCAAGCCATCCCTACTACTGCTTCCTCGATGGGTACTCAGGATTTTTCCAGATCCCTATCCACCCAGACGATCAGGAGAAGACCACCTTTACATGTCCATACGGCACTTTCGCATATCGCAGGATGCCCTTTGGACTCTGTAATGCTCCTGCGACGTTTCAGCGATGTATGATGTCCATCTTCACTGACATGATTGAGGATTTTATGGAGGTCTTTATGGATGATTTCTCAGTTTACGGATCATCTTTTAAGGACTGTCTGGATAATCTCTGCAAAGTTCTGGCTCGCTGTGAAGAGAAGCACTTGGTCCTTAACTGGGAAAAGTGTCACTTTATGGTCAGAGATGGGATTGTGCTTGGGCACAAGGTTTCTGCAGCTGGCATCGAAGTGGATCGTGCGAAGATTGACGTCATGACGAGCTTGCCACCACCTGATTCTGCGAAATCGGTTAGAAGTTTTCTGGGTCATGCAGGGTTCTATCGTCGCTTCATCAAGGATTTCAGCAAGATTGCACGTCCTCTTACTGCTCTGCTCTGCAAAGATGCTAAGTTTGATTTTACAGATGAGTGCCTTGCTGCGTTCGAACAGATCAAGCATGCTCTGATAAGCGCCCCCATTGTGCAGCCTCCTGACTGGAATTTGCCTTTTGAGGTGATGTGTGATGCTAGTGATTTTGCTGTTGGTGCTGTTCTAGGACAGAAGAAGGATAAAAAGCTTCATGCCATCTACTATGCTAGTCGAACTCTGGATGATGCTCAAAGGAATTATGCTACCACTGAGAAGGAGCTGTTGGCTGTGGTCTTTGCTTTTGAGAAATTTCGGCCATACCTTGTGGGATCGAAGGTGATTGTGCACACAGACCATTCTGCCCTCAAATACTTGATGCAGAAGAAGGATGCGAAGCCAGGGTTGCTGTGATGGGTATTACTCCTTCAGGAATTCGATATTGAGGTCAAGGACAAGAAGGGGGTTGAGAATGGTGTGGCAGATCATCTCTCACGCATCAGGGTTGAAGACGACGTACCCATAGACGATTTCCTGCCAGAAGAGAATGTGTATTATGTGGAAACCAAATTCCAGAGCAGTTTTGACGAAGAATTGCAGGTTTTTCGAGTTGGAGGACCGTTAGTGACGAGCAACACCACCACTAGTGTCGCGCGTCACCTTTCTCAGGCGAACACAGAGACCTCCCAAATTCGCAACAGACTTCCTGAGACCAGTTCAGCTGCTGTATCCGCTACCCAACGCCCTTGGTATGCCGATATTGCCAATTATCTTGCTGCAGAGGCTGAGCCTGAGAACTTTAAGGGCTATGCAAAGAAGAAGTTCCTGAGAGAGCTGCGAAGATACCACTGGGATGAGCCATATCTGTACAAGCACTGTTCTGATGGGATTTACAGAAGATGCATTGCAGAGTCAGAAGTTCCAGAAGTGCTGTTTCATTGTCATGGATCCGAATATGCTGGACACTTTGCAACATTCAAAACAGTGTCTAAGGTTCTTCAAGCAGGCTTCTAGTGGCCTACCATGTTTCGCGACGCACATGCATTCATCTCGCAGTGCGATGTTTGTCAGAGGAGAGGAAAGATCAGCAAACGACATGAGATGCCACAGAATTTCATCCTTGAGGTTGAAGTATTCGACTGCTGGGGTATCGATTTCATGGGTCCTTTTCCCTCTTCTTATGGGAACAAGTACATCCTGGTTGCTGTTGATTATGTCTCAAAGTGGGTCGAAGCCATTGCCAGTCCCACCAACGATTCTTCAGTGGTCCTTAAGATGTTCAAGACCATCATCTTTCCTCGCTTTGGAGTACCTCGAATTGTTATAAGTGATGGTGGTTCTCACTTTATTAACAAGATTTTCGAAAAACTCCTAAGGAAGCATGGAGTTCATCATCGAGTTGCAACTCCTTATCACCCTCAGACAAGTGGACAGGTCGAAGTGTCGAATCGTCAGATCAAAGAGATTCTGGAGAAGACAGTGGGTAAAACTCGAAAGGATTGGGCTGCGAAGTTGGACGATGCACTCTGGGCGTACAGGACAGCATTCAAAACACCTCTAGGCACCACACCTTTCCACCTGCTCTATGGAAAGCCCTGTCATCTTCCAGTGGAGATTGAACACAAGGCAGCCTGGGCGATAAAGCTGATGAATTTCGACATCAAGTCTGCTGCAGAGAGGCGACTGATACAGCTGAATGAGTTGGACGAAATCAGGCACCATGCCTATGAGAATTCGAAGTTGTACAAAGAGAGGACCAAGGCGTATCATGATTCAAAAATCCTCTCTAGGCAATTCGAACCGAATGATCAGGTAATTCTGTATTCGTTTGCAATTGTTTCCTGGTAAACTTCGTTCTCGATGGTCAGGTCCTTTCATAGTCAAAGAGGTTCGCCCCTATGGCGCTCTCGTCCTCCTCACACCAGATGGTAGCAGAGAGTTCACAGTGAATGGACAAAGAGTGAAGCACTACTGGGCCAAAGCTGAGATTCCGGATGGACATATCGTACCTCTGGATGGTGCACCTCCTGCCTGACTCGCCATCAAGTCAAGCTAATGACTTTAAACAAGCGCTTGGTGGAAGGCAATCCACTGGTGAGTCTGTAAATAAGTCTTTTTGTTTCAGTTGATTTTCGTTTTTCTTTTCATGTTTCAGGTGAAACAGGGCTGGTGTCGAGCGACACCATACTCGGTGTCGCCTGTCACTTGTTACCTTTTATCAAAAAAAAAAAAAAAAAAAAAAAAAAAACAAAACAATTTAGGACCTAGCTTAACCGAAATTCCAGAACCGGAGGGGAATCAGAAGCGGATCGGGCACGAGGACAATACCATTCGCACTTTGCAAGTGTCGCGCGTCACCACCCTAGGTGTCATCCGTCACTCACAAACAGGTAAGTCTTCTCTTTCCCACGTTTATTTAAAACCTTCACCCTCACACCTTTTTCCTCCCTTCCTCCTCGCCGCACTCGACACTTTCGCCATAACCACCCTCACCACAACCGAAATTACTCAAATCTTCACCGATTTGAGTGATTCCAAAGCCTAACCTCATCCGATTTTCGCCCTCTATCTGTTTCTCTCATCGATTTGCCATTCCAACAAGATGCCTCCACGCAAGCGACAATGCAGGGACGCCGCCTCCAGTTCGCAACCTCCAGTCGAAGTAACCTTCCAACTCGGAGACCACGTCGAGGTTTTGGATGGTCACCTGTGGCAACGTGCAACCGTGAAGGCTGTACTCGCACAATCTCGTTACATGGTCACATTCCTTGACTCCCAGGAGTTGCAGGTGTTCCCGACTTCCCATCTTCGCCCTGCTGCACCACCACGAGCCTCCGCCTCACCGCCACCATCGCCTCCTGCACTCCCTGATTCACCTGACGAGAGGATTAGGCGCCCTTGGCCTAAACGAGAGAATCTGCGCATTCCAACACGCAGGATCTGGGACGAGCCACCTCGAGCTGTTGCTGAGAGCGTTGAGTGTCTACACAGGCCAATTTCCGATGACTGGGATGATTACGACACTTTCTTCTACAACGCCTGGCTCAATGTGAAGATACTCCCCACCAGGTTCTTGGACATTCTGGATATGAGGCGTTTGGGTTTGGATTCTGAGCTCCTGCGTTTGTTGACGAAGCTTGGATTGGGATCTATGGCTACCAGACCCTACGATCTGTTTCCTGACCTTGTTCGTCAGCTCCTCGCCTCTATTCGCATCTACTACACCAACGGACATGCTCCAAATGCGCAGGAGGGCACTCTGACTTTCATGATCCGCGGAGTTCATTACAGGCTCCCCTTTCGCGACCTATGTGCCTTATATGGGTTTCGCAAGGATCTCCCGAGAGTCACCCTCCCTACTCAGATGTTCGATGTGCAGGATTTCTGGTCCCATTTTGGGAATGGGCGTTATGATTCGAAGACTACGTCCCAAACCGACGTGCGCCACCCTGTTCTGCGATGCCTTCTACGTGTCCTGGGCAACACTATTCAGTGCAAGTCGACCCCGGGTAAGATGCGTCTCTCTGAGTTGGCTCTTCTTTATGTTGGCATTGGTGATTTGACAGATGGTGAGCATTACCGGAATTCCGCGCACGCTACTGATGTCAACATGGGAGCTGTTTTCGCTCATCACTTGGGTTCTTTGCAAGCCAAGCCTTTCTCTGGAGCAGGTACGACGCAGCGCACTGAGTCTGTTGGTAGCTTGCTGACCCCTATCTTCCAGTATTTTCGGATCAGCACGGAGAACAGCACCATTGTCACGACTCGCCGCACTATTGATTTGGATCACCTACGCCACGCTTCCTGGATTAACCACAACAATCAGTGGTCCTTTCGCACTACAGCTGGTTCATACCGGATTCAGGTCCCTGATCGTGCACGCACTGACATAGGCACCACCTGCGCCGCACTTCGTTTCATGCCCGAGAGGAGAGTCTTGATTACTGTGTCTCGCGGTTCTTCTTCTAGAGCTCGTGCTTCCACTTCCGAGGACGATCAGATACCTCGCTCCGCAGACACCACAGTACCTCTCCCTGATCTTCCCACTGAGCCAGAAGTTCCCATGGAGGTTGCTGCTTTCCAGCGGTATGTCATTCAGAGTTTTCAGAGCATCTGGAGTGCCATCGCTATTCTCTCTCGCTGCGGATGTGTTCGCCCTACTCGCCCGCGATCTCGCTCACCCACGCCCTCTGATGATGCTACTACTAGCGATGAGGACTAGTTCCTTTGTCATTCTGGTTCTGTTTTCTTGTCTTATGTTTTTCTTCTCTTTTATTTTCGTTTGTTTGAGTCTGTTGTGTCAGCTACACCTGTTGTGAGACTTTGTTGGATTTATGCATCTATGGGTTGTATTGATACTACTAACTTTTCTCTGAGTGATCTGACAGTGCTAACATAGATGATCGCGACGATTGCTCTCTGCACTATGGTGTCGAGCGACACCATCTTTGGTATCACGCGTCACCGCCCTTGCACTTTCGACCTAAGCTTGTTTTCATCTGAATCTGAGCTGTGTGTTGGTCGACCTAAATGAGTAGTAAGATATTCTAACCCGTTGCATTCTTCTTTCTGACTTTCTCTTTTGTCACCAACTTCGGATTTGATAACACTGGGGACAGTGTTGTTCAAGTCTGGGGGAGGTAGTTGCTGACATTGTGTTTGTTTTTCTTAAGAGTCAGTTGTGTCAAAACGTTTTTGAGTCAAAACTTGTTGGAGATCATGATGCTTTTCCTGGAATTATTGTGCTGACCTTTCATCTAAGTGACCACTGCTGCAGATTCAGTCTACATCCGACTAATGAAAAATCCAAAGGCTGACCAGCTGACTAGAGGCGTCCATGTTTCCAACAGAATCCACTAACCTGAGCTAAGTTCTGAACTTCACTTTTAACTCGTTGATGTGACTGATGCCTTAGAGCTTGATTCCTCGTTCGTACTTGATCAATGAAAGCCTGTGTGAAATTTAATGAAGTGATTTCTCTCCCTTGTGACGAGCTAAGAGAAGGCAAAAAGATTGAGATGATTTTCGCTTAGAAGTGAAGGGCTAGGAATGTTTCCAATGATCCCATTATTTCACTTCTAAGTTGGAATGATCACACAAAGGAAGGAAGTGAGGGGTAGGAATGTTTCCCATGACCCCACTATTCGCTGAAAACCTTTGATACAAGGTAAGGGGACAACTCGGGGACTTGGTGGCAAACACCATCAGTACTCGCAGCTTTATCTTTATCGAGTATGCGCCATAAGAAAAGAGATGATGAATGTGCGAAAGGAATAAGTCTGGGGGAGAGAAAAGGTACCAAAGTTTGTAAGGCTGATTTGTTTGAGTACAGAATGGGAAAGAATCTAGAAGGTTCTGGGCATTGGAATCATCAGTGAGATCCAGCGAAGAGGGTTTATGGACAATGTTGTGGAATTTTGGACTTAATCTGGAAAGCTGTGAATGTCTACGGAGAAGTACATGGTGGTTTGATTTGGAATGATGAAGCAGAAGTTGAGTTGCAGGGTGATCAGTCAAAAGCGATGTTCCAATGAAAGGTTGAGTCTCTGTGTTTTCAAACTTCTTTCTCTTGTTTGGTGTTCTGTTTGCTTGAGGGCAAGCAAATGCTAAGTCTGGGGGAGTTGATATATCATGGTTTTTATGGTTTTTAACCATGGTATATGTCTTATTTATAGAGTCTTTTTAGTGTCTTTCGAGTCTTTTGGAGTCTTTTCAGGTCATAGGTACGTTTGGAGCTTAACTGGAGACTTTGGAGCACTTTGGAGCTTAATCAGGATCAAATTCGTCAAGTATGGATTTTGTGCTTTAGTGACGCTCGACACCATGGAGAGTGACGCGCGACACTTGTCAAAGAAATAAGGAAAAGGGGATTTTGTTTCCTATTTGAAGAAGGAGTTGGGCCCAAACGTTTTCAAGGAAGCCCAAAACGTGTCTTAGAGATATATATATAGGATTTTTATTCCCTTTTTACGGACACATTTTTAGATTCTAGAGAGAGAGATACTCTGAGTTTTCGGCTTTTGCGATTTCTAAGCTTGGGGAGACAAGTCTATACTCTGTTCGTTTAGAGAGAAGATTTCGAACCCCTTTATCTATTTCGATTTATTCTATTGCTTTCTATTCATCATGTTTGTTATTTCAATAACCATGTCTGAGTAGATTACCTGTTAGGTTTAGGGTTAATTAGGGTTTTCTTTGAATGTTTGATTAACTTGCCAGTTAGGGTTCATATCTATTTGTTCTTCACCTTAGGTTGTTCTTAAAGCTAATTCTGGACTGATCACCTAGAACTTAGATCTTAGGTTGCTTAATTGACACGGGAGTGTAATTGAATAACTGGAAAGAACCTGAGTTGAGCAAAGTAACTATTCGCAAAGGAATTTGGTTTAGGAGCTTTGTGAACAAATCGAACTTGTGCATTAAGGCTGGTTTAGATCTGTAGGATTTACAAAGGAATTTGGAATTCTAGGATTTTAACTTAGATAATTCTCACAACGGAAGTTGGTTAATTATAGTTCTGTGTTTCAAGTTCAAGAACCGTGCTTAATAACTGAATTCTGACTTGTTAAGTTGATTTGCATTCATTGATCTCCTGAAAATCACCCTAGACCTATCCTTCATCACATCGAATTTACAATTGTCTTCATTGCTATTCTATTTACTTTTGTCGCAACACTATTTATTTCGCATATCTTGGCTTAGCGTAACTCTATCTACATAAGGTTTATTGAGTGACTTCTTGTCTCTGTGGTTCGACCCCTAGATACTACAACTGCACATCTGTGCTCTTGCAGAGTAGCTTAGGGATTTAACTTTGAGCATATCAGTGGGTTTTGTTATCTATTTGCTATATTTCAATATTTTTGTAAGGTTTTTATCTTCATATAATTTGTTCTTTAACGAATGAAGTAGTAGATCGGTTCTTTAACGAATTAAGTTCGAACTCAATTTTATTTTTAGGTAGCAAGTTGCGTTAACTCGGCTTATATTTGCAAGTGTTGAGAACTTTTCTTATAATGCGAATCTCAAGAGTTCGGCTTTGGGTGCAAGTGTTGGAGCTCGGCGTGGGGAACCCAAGTGAGTTGTATTGTACTGGAAGAGTGATTTGGTCGAACTCTTGTAAGCGCACGATACAAGCTCAAGGTTTTTCTAAGTCGACCCTAAGTGTGCGAGATGAGCTCGGCTTATTGTCCTCGGTGACTTATAATTTTTAGTGCGGGACTGGCCCCGGCTTTCATAATGTGGAGTTTACCATGACACCGTGTGGGTGTTAGCGAGACGGATCTCGGCTTTTTTAGTTCGCATTCATGTGGAATGCTATCGAACAACTGGCCAGGAAGTCGATGTAGATAAAGTAGGACTAAAACATAGACGTTTTCACTTAATAAAATTTTATTGATGTCATATCTGGACTCGGTGACGAGTTACCTACGTACCCTTCGAAAAGAGATCAAGCCATTCGTAGTTCTAAGTACAACAGGTGTCCTCTCCGAACTAAGTAGTTCGGAGGTTTTTTTTTTTAAAGATCGGAATGAACGATCTAATAATATTATCGTTTGAGATGCATTGAATTCCAGGATCTCGGGATCGGGGTTCCGTCTAGCTTCATCAGCTGGTAAACACTGGGCTTAACGACTTTCATGACTTGGTAAGGTCCTTCCCAGTTCGCATCAAGTTTTCCTGCATTCTTCTCTTTGCGAAGTACTAGATCTTCATCTTCGAAGTGACGGCCTTTAACATTTTTATTGTAGTAACGAGCTGCCAGTTGTTGGTAGTTCTGTATCCTGAGTAACGCTCGTTCGCGGTGTTCTTCGACTAAGTATATCGTGTCGAGCATCATGTCCTTGTTAACGTCGGGCTGCTGAGTGAGCATAGTTCAGCGGATACTAGGAACGTTGAGTTTGGCGGGACACATAATATCCGTTCCATACTCGAGAAAAAAAGGTGATTGACCGGTTGAACGTCGCGGCGTAGTTCGGTGAGACCATAAAACACCGTTGAGTTCCTCCGCCCATGTTCCCTTGGTCGTATCAAGCCGCTTTTTCAGACCATCGATAATGGTTTTGTTCGTTGCTTCGGCCTGCCCGTTTTCTTGCGGGTACCTCGGAGTGGAAAAACTTAAGCGTATTTTCCACTTGGTGCAAAACTCGGTGAAGATTATGGAAGTGAACTGAGTGTCATTGTCCGTGACGATCTCATATGGGACACCATATCAGCAGATGATGAACTTCCAGACAAAATTCTTGACGTCGATACCGTGGATCTCGGGATATGCTTTGGTTTCGATCCATTTGGTGAAATAATCGGTAACGACAAGTACCTATTGTTTCTGGCTTGTAGATCGGCGAAAGGGGTTGATAATATCCATTGCCCAGCGCATGAAGGGATATGGTGCGGTGGAAGTCATCAGGAGTTCGGTAGGGAAGTTGATCATCGGGCCGTGGCATTGGCATTTTTTGCAGCGTGCGGTATACTTTTCGCAATCGGAGAGCATAGTTGGCCAGTAATAATCGGCCTTTTTGATCTTGAATGCCAATGAACGAGCGCCGGAGTGATTTCTTACTTCTCCTTTGTGCATTTTCTGCAGAACTTCCATGATATCATTGCCGTGAACACAATTTAAAAGTGTGCCAGATGCATCCCATTGGAGGAGAGTGCCTTTGATGACCACGTATCGAGCTGCTCGAACCTTAAGTCGCCAAGCTGCCCATTTGTCCGCAGGAACCATTCCATCGCCAATGTATCCGACGATTCCAAAGTCCAGTCTACGGGCTCATCGTCGCCTTCAGCTTCGATGTCGATTGGAACGTGTTGTCCTTCAAATTTGTCGTCTGGATTGGATTCGTTGTCACTCTGTTCATTCATATCAACATTGAGATCGGTGACTGCTTCCGTAGTCTTCTTCTTTCTGGTGAGTGGTGGTGCGAGGTTTGGATGAGCCTCGTAGTCGCAGCATCGCGTGATGATGTTGCACACGGGGGCAGGTTCGATACTAGGTCGATCCATTGCCTCATTTGGAATTGTTCACTGATCATATGTAATTGGTATATATACATGACGGCACCAAGGGATACACAAATGATAAAGAAGTAAATACTAAGTATAACTTGAATACTAAAATGTAAATATGAAAAATATTTTGCTATTCTAGGTGGAACAAGGCAATATAGATTTATGTTTTCCTAGATTTCGTAATCCCTACGATAACAAAACTCATTTTGTTAGTATGGAAATTCCAAATCTAGTATACATCTCTCAGAACCGGGATCAGCCTTTGAGAAGTCATCATTTCAAACGGGAATCAAACTCATTGATCATAATATATTGACTATAAAAAGATTGAACAACCAAGTTTTTTCACGCGAAATACCGTTAGCATTTATCTTTCACAAACGTAACACAACCACAGCATGATTAATATTTCAAATAAAAAGGAACCTCTTTTTCAAAAAATCTTGTACTTTAATAGCAAACAATAGAATTGTAGTCATGGGTTATCCAGGTTTTGATTTTGCTCTTGAACAACCAGGTCACCTAATTTATATGGTTCATGGGTTATCTTAGGGTTGTGCACTATTAGAACAACCTAGATCATCAGTTTATATATTAAGTTATTAAACTTGTATATGTTTGTCCTACCGTTTTCTTTTATTTTTTAATGGTGTTTGACACTTCGATATGTTTTAGAATGACTAATGCATTTTAACTTATACAAGTTTAATATATATATATATATATAATTTTGTTTATCCACAAACTCTTTGTTTTTCTATATCATTTTATATGTTTTGATACTTAAATATGTTTTTGAATGAAGAATTCATTTTAGCACAATTAAAATGTTCTTGAAATTTTTATCTTATGCCTTACTATTATTACCTAGTACTTTTTTCTTTTACTCCTGATTTCACAATCCCTTGACAATGAAATAGTAAATCCACAAGACATTCATATAATATGAAAATTGATACAAATTAGATCCCAAACATCTCAAACATAAAAACAAATACCAAAGATAATTATTCAAACCAAATATAGAATTTCCAATTTATTATAACAAGAAAAAAAAACCAAACAGGCAAACAGTTTGCAAAGGGGTTTCTCTTTCAAATATTAATTTCATCAGAACATCATGATTTTCGGATCCAAATCCACCCATCGAATTGATAGAACTTTTGTCCTCACGGCTTCTTTGATGGGCAGTCTCGATAAGATATTAAGCAACACCTTGTCTGGGAGTGTGCTGATTCAATCATCGTCATCGATATTGACTGCATCAATAAAGACACTTCTTTTTCTAGCCCATCATATGGTAAAAGTGATCTCTCCATGGATTGGATCGCTAAAGAAGGATATGGATTCTTTTGTGAAGAAGAAAGACACGAAAAAGAGATATGATGCTTTGCTGACTTGGGGTTCTTAACATGTAAAGAGAGATGAGGATATAGGTTTATATATGATTAACGTAGTTAATTATGAGGAGACCAAAACCCTCGTCATTACAAGTTAATTATCATTTGGTCAATTTAAAATTAATTATATTCCTTTAACACCCAGTGGAAACAATTAAAATGATAAAATGTTTTCTTTTTTGACATAATATTGACCAAAGAAAAAATTTTTCGATGTAAAATAATAAATAGATGTGTAAAATAAAACCTAATGTTGCAAATAATTCATTAAGTGGATAAGAATACAAAATTATGTGGTTCTGATTACATTTCTTATATGAATATATAACAACAAAAGATGAACTAAACAAAAAATATACTTGAGAAAAAGAAAAAAAGAGCAAAAAGCGTTTCTTAGAAAAATATCCAATAAAATTTAATTTTTAATAACTAAAATTATTAGTACATACAATTTTAGTATTGAAATTACTAATAAATTTTGGTGACAAATGTCACTTTTAAATTTGTAGAGAATAATAAGATAATATCTTCATTTCCTTCATATACATGCATCAAGAAGATTTCATGCTTAAATTAGAATGCCATTTTTATATATACATATCTACGTATTATTTCTGAGTCAATATAATTCATCTAATTAAGAAAATGGAAACTTTTATAGATTACTATTAAAAATTGACATAATAGTACAGAAAATGATGGTGTGTAGTTGTGTAAGATTATTGACAAAAAAAAAAGTAGTTGTGTAAGATCGGTGTTAATATCAGGGCGACAGAAATAGTCACGTAGACTGTTCAGAAACTTGTTCAGCTACTTCAAAAGAGTTTTTAAAAAAATAGATTAGGAATGGAAACGAAAAAGAATTTCGATTACGACATGTGGCAGAAAGGGACATAGATTAGATGCATTACATGGTCATTTCAATATGTGTTTTAGGTTTCATGTGGAGAAAATGCCCGAAAAGAACATCATACATAGAGCTCTGGTCATAGAAACCTTGCATGTCAATATATTTTAGTAATGGATCAGTTCTCAAACCTTAAGAAACCTTTTACTAGTTATTTTTTCTCCTAGGTACAAAAACATTCCATCTCGTACGAAGAAATGCCTCCCATGATTGAACAAAGGCAAGGGGATTCAACCACCTGTTTACTTTTAATTTTAGGCTAAATTTTCAGTAACAATGTTAGAGGAGTTGGTTAACAGTTTTGTTAATTAATTTTTATCGGCACTGTATACAATGTTTATATTGTGCCTAGCTTTTACGGTATTACATTTTTTTAACTCGTTTCAAAATCCCATGTGTAAAACCATTGACCAAGACAAGAACATGGCAGTGAAATAATAACTTAACAAGATATTCAGATAATATAAAATTGATACAAATTAGACCTCAAACGGCTCAAACTTAAAAACAAATACTAAAAGAAATTCTTAAAACAACATATAAAATTTCCAAATTCTTTAAATAAAAAGAAAGGGTTTTCTCTTTTCTATTACGAAAGGCTGGATTCAAACCAAATTTTATTAGGCCATTATGATATCGAGCTCACTGTAACCTTTTGGAAGTTCCTTTAGGTTGGCCACTGCACCCTCTATCTCCAACTTCTTACTTGAAAAAGACGACGATGGTTTGATTAACATAGTCTTGATTACCATCCCTTGCGTTATCAACCACGAGGCAAACGCAATCTCTTGTTTTGAACCGCTAAAATCAGACAGCCATACAGTATATGCAGTGAAGTTAACGTCAGAAAACGGTTTTTTCACTTCCCAAAACTGCTTCTTTGTTCTTCCAATAGAAGTTTCAACTTCTGCACTCGGAGCATTGCATTTCTATGGAAAAAGTCATGTATCGGAAATTTAGATAACTAGGTGTGTATTGCTTACAAGCAAACGTTATGAAAAACAGAAACATGGCTACTTCTATTTCTATATACTACCCACATAATTATATATTATTCAAAACATGTAATGAACGGACCTTGAATAAGACCTCAAGTTCTTCCATTTCTCCACGCCATGCAGCTAAGACTTCATGCAGCATCTCAACTTGTTTTGTATTTGCCAAGTCTACACTTACCGACATCGATGAAAATTCACTCAAAAATTCCTGGGACCTGCTCATCATGAATTCATGTCCAATGCTCTTTTTCTCCTAAGATTCATAAATAATAAATATGTCAAGGATATCACGTTAAGTATAGATCAGCATCGTTTCCTTCTCTATCAAAATACAATGGAATGCAAAAGAAATTAATATATATATATATATATATATATATACGGATATACCTGATCTGGGCATGATATACTATAACTGGTGTGAGCATATATTTTTCCTGTAGTCCAATAGTTTCTATGAAACTGGAGTCTAGGATTCTCAAAGACAACGTTCTCTCTCTCACACCAGAGAGATCCAATGCTGAGGATGTCCAAATTTGGTGTAGACACTTCAATGCCATCAATTTTATAACAGGATAGATACAAGAACTTTAAGTTGCGGTTCTCAATTTTCAGAAGACCTCTTCCTTTGTCGCAATTGATAACTACTACAAGCACTTCGAGAGAAGGGCAAGACATGAGGACTGCGTTAAGGACTCCAGCCTCAGCCAAAATGCCAGTGAGTTCTAGATTCATTAGATTCCCACAGTTATTGAAAGAAAGTGGAGTTTTTATATGATACCGACCTAAGTGTAGTGATTTCAGGTATGGATGGGAAAATGAATTTGGAGGCAAGTCGAGTGTGACGGGTTTTGTGTTAGGTCTAAAAGGGCACAGATAGTTTATAAGTGTGAGATGCTTGATGTGTTTCACATGAATCAATGATCTAATCCAAGCCTCGACCATCCTGTTTTTACATTGGTATGAGTAATAATAGATTGTGCATCTTTCCAAATGGCCGCCACGGTGATCGTTTATAACCTAAAAGGCCAAAAAAGGATTTAGGACAAGTATGTTTTTAGGTGGTAAAAACAAAACAAACACAAAGTAAACCAAGTTATTATGGTGGAAAAAAAAAATCGTTGTACACTTAGAGAAATGAAAATGGTGGATTTAATATATTTCTCTAAAACATATTACGATTTGAAGTGAAAGATAGTGGAAAATAGTGCAACTAATTTCGCAAAAACAAAAAAAAAGTTTATTTCTCTACTAATTTCAAGAGAGAAGGATGAACAAAATTATGCTTCTATCACCCCTATTTCACTTCTCTCTAATCCATTTATTTTTACACCACAAATTCCTGTAATGATGACCATTTATGATATATGGCATATTAATGTCGGATTTCACAAAATCTGGTTTCATTTATAATGGTTGTCATAAAATTCCATACTAAGTATACATCTCTCAGAATTAGGATCAGCATTTCATTTCCAACGGAAAGAACTCACTGATCATCAGATCATAGAATATTTGAAAATCTGATTGTTTCGCCCTTAAGACATTTAACCTTTATTTTCGTAACAGAGAATCAAAATAAACCCAGTAAAACACAGTATAATAACAACACAAAACATGTTTTCTCAAATAAATAGGAGTCTCCCTTTTTTTCTGAAGTCATGTACTTTGATTGCAAACCAGGTTGATTTAGGGTTGTGTACTATAAGAACAACCTAAGTTTATAGGCCAGATCTATATGTGTAATTTCTTTATCCAAAAATCCATAAGAAAAAACTACTGAGAAAAAGAAATAGACCTTGGTCATCGATCTAACGGCATCATTATCAATAACATGGGGCAAAAGAGTTCTGAATTTGGCCAACTTTCGTAGGTCCAAGAAGAGATGTGGCATCTCCTTCCACAAATCCACCCATCGACATGATAGAACACTTGTCCTCACAGCTTCTTGGATGGACAGTTTTGATAAGATCTTATGCAATACCTCGTCTGGGAGTCTGCTGATTTGATCATTGGCATTGATCGCATCAACACTACTTTGTCTCTTCATGGATCGCTAAAGAAGGAGAGAGGAGTCTTTTGTGAAGAACATATACACACAAAAAAAAAGAGATTTGTATTTTTGACTTGAGGTTCTTCACTTGTTAAGCGAGCTGAGAATGGATGTTTATATATGCATATTGTAGTTAATTACTAGGAGATAAAAAAGATTAATTAGAAACAAATAAATATTTGGGGTTATTGTCTGAAAATAAAATCCTAGTTGATTTCCATTTGGTCAAGTAAAATTATTTTCCTCTAACACCCCAATGGAAACAAAATAAAATATAAAAGATTGTTTTCCCTCTTGGCATGTATTTACCAAATAAAATTTCTTTTCTCTAAAAAAAAAAGAGGTGAAAAATAAAAATTAATTGATCTGCTCAAAGTTTAATCCCTAAGCTACTCTGCAAGAGCACAGATGTGCAGTTGTAGTATGTAGGGGTCGAACCACAGAGACGAGAGATCACTCAATAAACCTTATAGAGATCGAATTACGCTAAGCAGAAATATTGTAAATAAATAGCAATGCAACAGAATTAGACTAAGCAGCAATAAAAACGGTTTGTAAGATTCAGATGGATGGAGATTAGGTCTAGGGCGTTTCTCAGGAAATCAATGCATGCAGATCAATCGATTAGTCAGGGTTCAGGTTTAAGCACAGTTTTTGAACTCAAATCTTGAAATTATAATTAACCAACTTCCGTTGCGAGAATTATCTAAGTCTAAATCCTAGAATTCCAAATTCCTTTGCAAATCCTAAAGACATAAACCAGCTTTAATGCTCAAGTTCGATGTTCACAAAGTATCTAAACCAAATTCCTTTGCGAATAGCTACTTTGCTCACCCTAGGTTCTTTCCAGTTATTCAATTACACTTCCGTGTCAATCAATTAACCTAAGATCTAAGTTCTAGGTGGCCAGTCCAGAATTAGCTTTAAGAATAACCTATGGTGAAGAACTAAATAGATTATGAACCCTAACTAATCAATCAATCCAACATCCAATGAAATCCTTTAAGAGAACCCTAAACCTAACAAGCAAACTACTCAGACATGAAGATTGAAGCAATAAACATGAATGAATAGATTGCAGAAAACAGTAAATAGATTAATAAACAGGGGTTCGAAATCTTCTCTCTCCGGAACAGAGTTTTAGACTTGTCTCCCCAAAAGCTCTCAAAAACAAAAGTTCTCTCTCAGAAAATCTAAGGTATCGATATATGGTGGCTAAAAACCCTATTTATAACTTAAAAACACGTTTTGGGCTTCCTTGTAATTATTGGAGACTTTTGGGCCCAACTCCTTCTTCAAACAGGAAACAAAATCACGTTTTCCTTATTTCTGCAACAAGTGTCGAGCGTCACTCTCCATGGTGTCGAGCGACACTAAAGCACAAAATCCATACTTGACGAATTTGATCCTGATTAAGCTCCAAAGTGCTACAAAGTCTCCAGTTAAGCTCCAAACGTACCTATGACCTGAAAAGACTCCAAAAGACTCGAAAGACACTAAAAAGACTCTATAAATAGGACTTATACCATGGTTAAAAACCATAAAAACTATGATATATCAACTCCCCCAGACTTAGCATTTGCTTGCCCTCAAGCAAACAGAACACCAAATAAGAGAAAGAGGTTTGAAAACACGGAGACTCAACCTTTCATTGGAACATCGCTTTGACCGATCACCCTGCAACTCAACTACTGCTTCATCATTCCAAATCGAACCACCATGTACTTCTCCGCAGACATTCACAGCTTCCCAGATTAAGTCCAAAATTCCACAACATTGTCCATAAACCCTCATCGCAGGATCTCACTGATGATTCAGATGCCAAGAACCTTCTAGACTCTTTCCCGTACTATACTCAAGCAAATCAGCCATACAAACTTTGGTACTTTTCTCTCCCCCAGACTTGTTCTTTTCGCACATTCATCATCTTTTTTCTTCTCTTTTTTATGGCACATACTCGATAAGAGTAAAGCTGCGAGTACTGATGGTGTTTGCCATCAACTCCCCGAGTTGTCCCCTTACCTTGTATCAAAGGTTTTCAGCGAATAGTGGGGTCATGGGAAACATTCCTACCCCTCACTTCCTTCCTTTGTGTGATCATTCCAACTTAGAAGTGAAATAATGGGATCATTGGAAACATTCCTAGCCCTTCACTCCTAATCGAGAATCATCTCAATCTTTTTGCCCTTTTTCTTTCTTTCTTAGCTCGTCACAAGGGAGAGAAATCACTTCATTAAATTTCACACAGGCTTTCATTGATCAAGTACGAACGAGGAATCAAGCTCTAAGGCATCAGTCACATCAACGAGTTAAAAGTGAAGTTCAGAACTTAGCTCAGGTTAGTGGATTCTGTTGGAAACATGGACGCCTCTAGTCAGCTGGTCAGCCTTTGGATTTTTCATTAGTCGGATGTAGACTGAATCTGCAGCAGTGGTCACTTAGATGAAAGGTCAGCACAATAATTCCAGGAAAAACATCATAATCTCCAACAAGTTTTGACTCAAAAACGTTTTGACACAACTGACTCTTAAGAAAAACAGACACAATGTCAGCAACTACCTCCCCCAGACTTGAATAACACTGTCCCCAGTGTTAGCAAATCCGAAGTTGGCGAAACAAAAGAAAAGAAACAGAGAAACGCAGGAAAAACAGAGAACTTACCTGGCTGCAATGATGGTGTCGCGCGACACTGATGATGGTGTCGTGCGACACTTTTTCTCTTCGTACCAAATTGCAGCAGACTAATCCGAATTTCTGGTTTGACTCCGGTTTCCTGATTTCCTAATTTTTTTTTTTTTTGACAGAAGCAAGTGACAAGCGACACCAACGGTGGTGTCGCTCGACACCAACCTCTGTTTCACCTGAGACACGAAAAAGAAAAACGAAAATCAACTGAAACAAAAAGACTTATTTACAGACTCACCAGTGGATTGCCTTCCACCAAGCGCTTGTTTAAAGTCATTACCTTGACTTGATGGTGATTTAGGCAGGAGGTGCACCATCCAGAGGCACGATATGTCCATCTGGAATCTCAGCTTTGGCCCAGTAGTGCTTCACCCTTTGTCCATTCACTGTGAACTCTCTGCTACCATCTGGTGTGAGGAGGAAGATGGCACCATAGGGGCGAACCTCTTTGACTATGAAAAGATCTGACCATCGAGAACGAAGTTTACCAGGAAACAATTGCAAACGAGAGTTATACAGAAGTACCTGATCATTCGGTTCGAATTGCCTGGAGAGGATTTTTGCGTCGTGATACGCCTTGGTCCTCTCCTTGTACAGCTTCGAATTCTCATAGGCATGGTGCCTGATTTCGTCCAACTCATTCAGCTGTATCAGTCTCCTTTCTGCAGCAGACTTGATGTCGAAATTCATCAGCTTTATCGCCCAGGCTGCCTTGTGTTCGATCTCCACTGGAAGGTGACAGGGCTTTCCATAGAGCAGGTGGAAAGGTGTGGTGCCTAGAGGTGTTTTGAACGCTGTCCTGTACGCCCAGAGTGCATCGTCCAACTTCGCAGCCCAATCCTTTCGAGTTTTACCCACTGTCTTCTCCAGAATCTCTTTGATCTGTCGATTCGAGACTTCGACCTGTCCACTTGTCTGAGGGTGATAAGGAGTTGCAACTCAATGATGAACTCCATGCTTCCTTAGGAGTAAATCTTGTTAATGAAGTGAGAACCACCATCACTTATAACAATTCGAGGCACTCCAAATCGAGGAAAGATGATGGTCTTGAACATCTTAAGAACCACTGAAGAATCGTTGGTGGGACTGGCAATGGCTTCGACCCACTTTGAAACATAATCAATAGCAACCAGGATGTACTTATTCCCATAAGAAGAGGGAAAAGGACCCATGAAATCGATACCCCAGCAATCGAATACCTCAACCTCAAGGATGAAATTCTGTGGCATCTCATGTCTTTTGCTGATCTTTCCTCTCCTCTGACAAGCATCACACTGCGAGATGAAAGCATGTGCGTCGCGAAACATGGTAGGCCACCAGAAGCCTGCTTGAAGAACCTTAGACACTGTTTTGAATGTTGCAAAGTGTCCAGCATATTCGGACCCATGACAGTGAAACAGCACCTCTGGAACTTCTGACTCTGCAATGCATCTTCTGTAAATCCCATCAGAACAGTGCTTGTACAGATATGGCTCATCCCAGTGGTATCTTTGCAGCTCTCTCAGGAACTTCTTCTTTGCATAGCCCTTAAAGTTCTCAGGCTCAGCCTCTGCAGCGAGATAGTTGGCAATATCAGCATACCAAGGGCGTTGGGTGGCAGAGACAGCAGCTGAACTGATTTCAAGAGGTCTGCTTCGAATTTGGGAGTTCTCTGTGTTCGGCTGAGCAAGGTGACGCGCGACACCAGTGGTGGTGTCGCTCGACACTGTTGATATGTGAATATCGACAAGGGACAAAACAGTAATTTAGATCGGAAGCTTGGTTTTATTAGATTGAGTCAAGGCGAAATACAAATGAGTTCGGTTATTTCGATAGGTAATAACGAACTGAGACTTAAAGCGATTAAGAAACTATCGTAATGAGTTCTAAATCTCTAAGTCTTCTTGGAATCCCTCCCTTTGCTCTGTGTCGATTCGTCTCCCTTTATATATATCTCCTAAGTCGGTCTTTAAGCACGCCTTAGACGATATGGGACCGAGAGGAGTTTCCTTTTCTCTCGGTTCCTTTCCTTTTCTCTCCGAAGTTTCCTTTTTCCGTTAGGAAACTTTCCTGTTTCGGCCGAGCTCAAGGAAACCTTCCATTCCTCTGAGAGGTTTCCCACCGACCTCGGCCTAATGGGCTATCTTCGGCCCATCTTCGCTCGGCCCATCTTCTCTCGGTACATCTCTTCGTAAACCGGGCTTACGGTTCGCCGATCTCAGTTTGTACCGGAGAAAACCAGGGTGCGGTTTTCACCTCCAACAGTTAGCCCCCCCTCAGTTCGGTGAAAGGACGTGACTTTCAGTCGAACTCAATTCTTCGGTTATTGGATCACAAACTGAGCTTGGTAATTGCTGTCGTTTCGCATTTCCGGACGTTTCGCGCCTATCTTCAATGAGGCGCGTGAATTACGGGATATTTCGCGAAAATCGAGGAACCCTCGATTCCCACTGTGTATAAAGGGCAAACTTCTTCTCGCATTCATTATTCTCGCCTCAAGCATATATAAGGTACGCTGCTCTCCCTTCTCTCTAGATTTCATTTCTCTCTCTAGTTTTTGTTCTTCGTTTTCTCTCGTTTCTTCAACTCTCGCCGCCGCGAACTCTTGATTTTTCCGAGCAACCTTCAAACTTTCCGGTTGATCTTCAAACTGTTCTTTATTTCCTTCAAATCTTCTTTCCCAAACCCTAAAATGTCTTCCAGCTCTTCGGTTAATTCTTCCTCGAATAAAATTCTTCCGGAAGACCACCGTGAGTCCTCGGAGCCGAGCTCCTCTTCTTCAAACCCTCAGCAGTCAAGTTCATCACGGGAAGAAAGCAATCTTCCCCAATTAGTTCGTAAGAACTCTAAATCTGCGGAAGCTAGCAGCAGCCGTGCTAGAGTCAGAATTGAAGCTACCGAAGATCTGACTGCAGAGGCTCGCGAAACGGTGGCTCGGGCTGGACCGAACGTTGATGCTAACACCCCTGAGATCGAGGAGATCGAGGAGGTCGAGGAAGAATTTCAGGGGGAGAACGTTGCTGATACTGAAGTCGACAACATTGAAGCGGTTATTCATGCTTCGCCACCACTTCCGAGGCGGAAAGTAGTTCGTCCCGACAACGTGCCCTCTTGTTCCCTTTCTCCTGGTGCCGTTCGAGCCGTGCTCGAGGCAAACGGTCTTGCGGACAAGATTATTTTCATCATTCCGGAGGCTAGAGATCGGCTGTGGGACGTTCCCGAAGGCTTCCTTTGCGTCTACCTGACGTACTTCACCCAGTGCGGGCTTTCTTTCCCCATTCCCTCTCGCCTACTGGGATACTGCAATCGGCGCGGCGTAGCTCTCACACAGGTGATGCCGGCCTCAATAACGAACTACGTTGGGTTCGTTTCCTTATGTGACGAGCTTGGCGAAGTCCCATCGAGTCAAATTTTCGAAGACCTCTTCTCGGTCAATATCCATAAGTCCAAGGAGTGGTTCTTCGCCGCCAATGCCAAGCCAAAGAAGAATTTAGTTATGGGACCTAAGCCCAGTAAATTCAACGATTGGGAGTCCCAGTACTTCTATATTGAAATGAACGATCTCACCGTCAGCAATTCTGACATCGCAATTCAGTCGAATTGGAAGATTCCGATTGGTAGATTAGATGATTTCACACTTAGATAAATTTTGACTTTTACTGCTTGCTAACTCGACTTCGTTTTATTTTTGTAGGTCGTCATCTTCCGAGTCTCCTTCTCAACTCCGGACTCACCTCTGAGTTTGAAGAAGCATTCAGCGAAGCCGGTAAACGTCGTTGGCCGGAGGTTTGGGAAGAAATCCTACAACGTCGAGCTAAGAAAGCGGGTATGTTCATCGAATTCTGTCTTTACTCACTTTATTCTGAATTTACTCCGAACTCCTCCTTAAACACATTTTCATTTCAGGCTCTGTTCGAGAACCCAAACCACGCAAGCCGAGAACTCGAGCTAGCAAGCCTCGAACCGCTCCCAAACGCCAATCACTGAAGTCGCGAACTCAACGCTCCCGAGCTGCCAGGATGCTTTCCATTGACGAAATCCCAACTCTCTTCGGTGAAGAGGAAACGGATGTGGCTGAGCCGACCCCAGTCCTTGCTGCTGAACAGACCGAAGTGCAGCCAGAAGAGTTGCCACCTGCTGCGGGCTCACCTGATCAGGTTGATCAGAGGAAGACGAAGAAGAAGAAGTCTTCGAAGAAGAGTAAGAAAGCAGAGGACTCTTCTCGGGTGCAAGATACTCCCGCCGAGCTCGATCCACCGGCAGCTGTGGCGTCGGGCCTCGCGCTCTCGCAAGATCGAGCTGAAGCTTCACACTCCCGAAAAAGGCAAACCAGAGACCATGTCGAGGGCTCTCAAGAGCACGGGCCGGCTAAGAGAGTCCGAGTTTGTTTTGACTACGACGAGGAGACTCCTTTTGAGGAGAACGTAGATGCCTGCGCCGAGCTCTATCATAAGATCTCCTCGGAGGTACCTAGCCTTCCCTCGGTTCCCGAGCTCCGGTTTCCCAACATGTACAAGAGAATCGCTCACACGACTGCTGTGGTAATTTTACTTACCCCTTATAGACTTGGATATTCTTCTAAGTATGACTTCTAATTCCTGTTTCCTCTGTGCAGCTCGCCAATCAGACCAATAACTTGGTCGCTGCATATGAAGTAGCCCTGTTCGACGAGCAAGTAAGGGTCTCCGAGCTCGAAGAAAGGATAGCCAAAGCAGAGGAGCGTCTCGCCACTGAGCTCCGAATCAACGAAACTCTGCACTCTCAAGTTGACTTGCTGAAAAAGGAGAGTGCAGAGCTGAAGGCGGTGAAAGACGAGCTCACCGAGGCCCAGAATTTACTCTCTAAAGAGTTCGAGAAGGACAAAGGGCGGCTACAAGGTATGGTGGCGCACTGGAAGAATCGAGCTAGGAGCGTTCACGCAACGGCTTGCGAACGCCTTGAGAAGGTCATTCGGAGTTTGGACGATGCTGACAGGGCTCGGAAGCCGTACTTGGTCTACAACCAGCTCACCGGGGTCCTCGGTTTCATCAAGCAGTTGCGGAGGAAGGGTCTGTACGAGGTCCCGCCAGAAATGGTTGCGGATATTGAAGCAAGGCATGCCAAGGCGCTGGAGGACTTCAAGGCGATCGATGCTTGCGTGCTCACTGAGGAGGACAAGAAGATGTCTCCGTTCGTAGAGGAAGATGACATTCCGGTCGTAAATGTGACCCAGAGCGCGCAAGATCCTGCGAGGGGCGAGCAGTTCGGCTCAAACGAGGACATACTCAACGCTGCTGCCTCGAAGACCATCTAATCTCTTCCTATTTTTCTTTTACTCTTCGAACTTAACTGCCCTTGCATGGGTTTCTTTTTGTAATTCTAATTCCGAGCCCTTGGTGGGTTCTGACTCTATTTGCCTCTCGGGGCTTTTTTATTTTAGAAAGACCTTCGGCATCTAACCTTCGGTTTAACTTTATGTCGTCGTTAAGATTTGCGGTTAATGCTAAAGTATTAGATCGGTATATAGTAGATATTCGAACGTGATTATTATCTTTTGATAGCGAATTGCGATAATTCGGCTTACGTTTTGCGAGTGTTGTGAACTCGGCTTACGGTGCGAATCTGAGGAGTTCGGCTTATTGTGCGAGCGTATGAGCTCGGCCTGGGGAACCCAAGTGAATCGTTTCGTACTGGAAGAGTGAATTAGATTCGAACTCCTGTAAACGCACGAAACGAATTCAAGGTTTTTCTAAGTCGAACCTAAGTATGCGAGATGTGCTCGGCTTATTGTTCTTGGTGACTTAGAAATTTAACTGCGGGACTGGGCCCGGCTTTTGATATGTGGCTTAACCACGACACCATGTGGGTGCTCGCGAGACGGATCTCGGCTTTTAAGTTTGCATTCATGTGGAATGCTATCGAACAACTGGCCAGGAAGTCGATGTAAAGACAAGGAGTTCGGTCCCTTGTGATTTCGAACTAACACTTTGTCATATCATGACAATAAAATTTTATTGATGTTATAGCTGGACTCGGTAACGAGCTGCCTATGTACCCTTTAAAGGGATCAAGCCATTCGTAGTTCTAAGTACGAAAGGGGTTTTCGCTCCGACTAAGTAGTTCGGAGGCTTTTTTATTTTTTTTTATTATTTTTTTTTTTTGGCGCTTCGAAACGAACTAGTAGTAGTATCGTTTGAGATGCATCGAGTTCCAAGATCGCGGGATCGGAGTTCCGTCTAACTTCATGAGTTGATAAACGCCGGGCTTAACAACCTTCATAATCTGATATGGTCCTTCCTAGTTCGCGCCAAGTTTTCCTGCATTCTTCTCTTCAGTGTTTTGATAGACTTTACGAAGTACGAGGTCGCCGTCTTCGAAGTGACGGCCCTGATCGGGATAGTTCGCCGAAGATCAGGATCGGAATTAGTCGTGAGTGCGGCTAAGGCGTCGGCAGTTGCATTCTCGTCTCGAGGTATCTTTGTAAGCTCGAAGGTGGAGAACTCTGAAGCAATATCCTTAAGAACTTTGAGATATGCGTCCATGCGGTCGTTCTTGGCCTCGTATTCGCCGTGAAACTGGTTGGCTACGAGTTGAGAATCGCAATAGGGGTGTACGTGCTCGGCGCCGATACCTTTAGCGAGTAGTAGTCCGGCAATCAATGCTTCGTACTCGGCTTCGTTGTTGGATGCCGGGAAGCCGAGCCGAAATGACTGCTCGATTACTTCTCCTTCGGGTGATTTGAGACGTATTCCAACTCCGGATCCTTTATGGGATGATGAACCATCGGCATGAAGAATCCAAGGTTGTACGACCAGATTATCTTCGACGAGCTCCGGTGGGAGTTCGACCAAGAAATCTGCTAGGACCTGAGACTTCGTTGCCGTTCTGTTCCGGTATTCGATGTCATATTCACTAAGTTCGATAGCCCACTTAGCGAGTCGTCCGGAATGACTTGGGCTATGAAGGAAAGTGCGAAGAGGGTGATCGGTCAAGACCACGATTGCGTGAGACTGGAAGTACGGGCGTAGTTTCCGTGCAGAAATAACCACGGCAAAGGCGAACTTCTCCAAAGTCGGATAACGATACTCCGATCCGTCGAGGGACTTGCTCGTGTAGAAAATTGGTTTTTGTTCGCCGCGATCTTCTCGAACAAGAACGCTGCTAACTGCGAACTCCGAAATCGCGATGTAAAGATAAAGTGTCTCGCCGGTTTCTGGTTTGGATAGAACTGGCGGAGTGGACAGATATTTCTTTAGCTCGGCGAAGGCTTCTTCACACTTCTCATTCCATTCGAGGTGCTTGTTACCGCGGAGAAGTTGGTAAAAGGGCAAGCACTTGTCCGTTGATCTAGATATGAATCTGTTAAGCGCTGCAATACGTCCGGTAAGTCGCTGAACTTCGCGTTTGGTTGTCGGCGAGGGGAGCTCGAGAATAGCGGCGATCTCCTTCGGATTAGCTTCAATGCCTCGCCGTGTGACGATATATCCGAGGAACTCTCCAGATGTTACGCCGAACGTACACTTAGTTGGATTAAGCTTCATACCATATTGATTCAAGATATCAAAGCATGTGCGAAGATGGCCGACGTGCTCGGAAGCGATGAGTGACTTTACGAGCATATCATCGATGTAGACTTCCATAGTTCGTCCGAGCTGGCTCGCGAACATCCGGTTTACCAGTCGTTGGTACGTTGCTCCAGCATTCTTCAGGCCGAATGGCATGACCTTGTAGCAATAGATGCCACGGTCCGTGATGAAGGATGTCTTCTCTCGGTCCTGCGGATGCATGAGAATCTGATTGTATCCGGAGAACGCATCCATGAATGAGAGTAGTTTGTTTCCGGCAGTTGCTTCCACAAGGCGATCGATATGAAGTAACGGAAAGCTATCTTTCGGACACGCTTTATTGAGGTCGGTGAAGTCGACGCAAATTCTCCATTTACCATTCTTCTTTTTCACGACCACGGGGTTTGCCAACCAATCTGGATACTTAACTTCGGTGATAGATCCAGCTTTGAGTAAGCGCTCGACCTCGTCGTTCACGGCTTGCGCTTTCTCTGGCCCGAGCTTTCGGCGTTTCTGCTTGATAGGCTTGTACGTCGGATCGATATTGAGCTCGTGGCACGCGATCTGCGGGTCAATCCCGGGCATGTCTTCTACCGACCAAGCGAAGGTTGAGGTATGCTGTTTCAGGAAACGAATGAGTGGTTCACGGATGACTGGGTCGAGCTCGGCACCAATTCCAACTTGACGCTCTGGCCTGAGTTCGTCAATGCTAACTTGAACGATCGATTCCTGCTTAGGCTTTGTCTTTTGGACGATGAGCTTGTCAGTTGGTCCGAACGAACTAATAACGCAAGCTTGGTTGGCCGAGTGGAGTCTGCACTCATTTATGTAGCACGATCGAGCAACGGCTTGGTCTCCTCGGAGTGTGTACACACCGTCGGGGGTCGGGAACTTCAAGCATTGATGGTACGTCGAAGCGACCGCTTTCATTGCGTGCAGCCATGGCGTACCGAGAATAGCGTTGTAGATTGCCGGTTTGTCGAGGATAAGGAACTGGATCATCTTTGCGATTCCGCCGACGTAGATTGGGATTATGACAGTGCCGATCGTCATACAATGTTCTCCATCAAATCCGGTAAGTGGCTCGATGAACGGATCAATCCTATCCGACGCCAACTCGAGCTGGTCAAGTGCTTCCTTGAAGATAACATTGACCGAACTGCCAGTATCGATCAGAATGCAGCTAACTTCGACGTCGTCGAGGAGTAGATCGACAACGAGAGCGCCATTATGCGGCTTGTGAATTCCGATCGTGTCAGCCTCGGTAAAGACCAAGGGCGCTCCCTTCGGCGGATCCTGCGGGGTTTTCAGTGTGCTAGCGGCTTGTTTGCTGTATTCCTTGATGGCTCGAACGGAATAACTGCAAGCTTCGATGGCCCCCATTATCATGTTGACACGTTTTCGCGCCTTAGGAGCAAGATTCTCCGGAGCTCGGTCATCGCGATTCCGTTTCTGTTGCTCAGACAAAGCAGGCAGATTCGGTGGCGGTGGTGGTAGTGTCGGTAAAGCCGGTGGAGTTGGTGGATCTTTGGCGAGTGCTTTCTCGAGATGTTCGTTGTTCGGTCGAGGCATCGAGAGTTGCCCACCGCTCTTAAGCGTGTTTGAGCGTCGGAGTTCGTCGACCGAGATCGGCTCCTTGCGATACAGGCCGAGTAGATATTCTCGCAAATGCCTGCATTCTTCGGTGCTGTGGCCCCTACGGTTATGGAATAACGACTCGTCTTGGTCTTCTTCACCGCGGACCCATTTATTATTCCACTGCTTGCTTGGTTGTTGGATTGCGTTAGCATAGAGTTTCTTGCGGTTCTCGTATCCTCGACCGTATCCCGACTGCGGCTCGTTAGTCGCGGGTTTCAGACGTTCGGGTTGTTTTGTTGAGTGACTTTGCTCGTACGCAGCTTCTTCTTCTTCTTCAGCAATGTAAGTATTAGCTCGGTGTAACGCATCTTCTAACGTCTGCGGTGGGTTATGCGTGATCGCGCTTCGGAAACTGGTCTTTATCCGAGCTCCTTTCTGAAGGCATAAGAGAGCGGCTTCGTCGATAATCGTGCAGTTGGCGACGATTGCCTTGAAGCGCTGGATGAAGTCGCGAAGGCTCTCGCTTGGTCCTTGAGCTATTTGCCATAGCTCGGAGTTCTTGGTATTCTGTCCAATGAACATGGAGAAGTGCTTGACGAAGGCCGTCGTTAACTCTTTGTAGCTGTCGATTGAATTGGCTTCGAGCCGTGAGAACCAGTCGAGAGCTACTCCTCCCAGACTTTCCACAAATAGTTGGCACTGAACCGTGTCTCTTTATTCGGCAGACTTAAACTGGTATCGGTTCATGCAGATACCGAACGATGTCAGGAAGTGTCGAGGGTCAGAGTTGCCCTCGTAGATTTTCATCTTCAGTTTCTCCATGTGCTTGACCGGCGTCCCTGCGATGCGCGATGTGAAAGGAGTCTTCTGTGTTTCCTGAATGACGCGCTCGATCTCCGGAGCCGCGCTTGTGGCTTGATGTATTTTTGAGGTGATATCGCGAAGCTGTGCTTTCATCGCTTCAAACTCGGCGTCTCGGCTTAAATCCGGTGCTGGTGGGTTTGCTGACCCGACCGCGGCAGACCTCATAGTTCCGGTTGGATCTCCGTCGGCATTGAGATCGTCAATGATGTTCCGAACTCGGAGAGGAGTTCGTGTCTGACTGAGTTCGGCGATCTGTGCCGCCATCTGACTGAAACGTTCCTCGCTCCTTTTGTTGATGGCTTCGAACTGAGCAGTGAACATTTGGAGTAACAGGTCGGTTACGGCTGCGGGAGTTTGCTCGGTAGCAGTTCCGGCGTTTTCTCCAAGAGTTCCTCCCGTTTGCCCTGTTTGGGCGTTGATGTTATTTCCCCTGAGAGGGTTTTCTTCTTCGTGAACGTTGGATTGGTCTGCCATCGCTGATTCAATCTTTCCGAAGTCCGATCTAAAATCTGAGATATCTGTTTAAAGCCTCCTTCCTGGCGCGCCAATTGTTGATATGTGAATATCGACAAGGGACAAAACAGTAATTTAGATCGGAAGCTTGGTTTTATTAGATTGAGTCAAGGCGAAATACAACTGAGTTCGGTTATTTCGATAGGTAATAACGAACTAAGACTTAAAGCGATTAAGAAACTATCGTAATGAGTTCTCAATCTCTAAGTCTTCTTGGAATCCCTCCCTTTGCTCTGTGTCGATTCGTCTCCCTTTATATATATCTCCTAAGTCGGTCTTTAAGCACGCCTTAGACGATATGGGACCGAGAGGAGTTTCCTTTTCTCTCGGTTCCTTTCCTTTTCTCTCCGAAGTTTCCTTTTTCCGTTAGGAAACTTTCCTGTTTCGGCCGAGCTCAAGGAAACCTTCCATTCCTCTGAGAGGTTTCCCACCGACCTCGGCCTAATGGGCTATCTTCGGCCCATCTTCGCTCGGCCCATCTTCTCTCGGTACATCCCTTCGTAAACCGGGCTTACGGTTCGCCGATCTCAGTTTGTACCGGAGAAAACCAGGGTGCGGTTTTCACCTCCAACAGACACTAACGTTTCTCCAATTCGAAAAGCCTGCAATTCTTCGTCAAACCTGCTCTGGAACTCGGTTTCCACATAGTATACATTCTCTTCTGGCAGGAAATCGTCTATGGGTATGTCGTCTTCAACCCTGATGCGTGAGAGATGGTCTGCCACACCATTCTCAACACCCTTCTTGTCCTTGACCTCAATTTCGAACTCTTGAAGGAGTAACACCCATCGCAGTATTCTCGGCTTTGCATCCTTCTTCTGCATCAAGTATTTGAGTGCAGAATGATCTGTGTGCACAATCACCTTCGATCCCACAAGGTATGGTCGAAATATCTCAAAAGCAAAGACCACAGCCAACAGCTCCTTCTCAGTAGTAGCATAATTCCTTTGAGCATCATCCAGAGTTCGACTGGCATAGTAGACTGCATGAAGCTAAACACATCACCTCAAAACGCAAATTCCAGTCAGGAGGTTGTACGATAGGGGCGCTTATCAGAGCATGTTTGATCTGTTGGAACGCAGCAAGACACTCATCTGAGAACTCAAACTTAGCATCCTTGCATAGCAGAGCAGTAAGAGGACGTGTGATAGATATAACTTTTTATGTCTCAGGGCTATCAATCCCCTTTGTCGAAGTAGCACAAAGAGGTATCAATCCAGACAAGTCAACGAGACACTAGACTATGATGTTTGTTCATTTAAGTCAAGACAAAAGGTGAAGGTTTCGAACTAAGCTAAGTGACTAACGATTAAGCATGAAAGGTAAAGCAAATGATTAGATCTAAACAGAGACAGGATGCAAATAATAGCTCAACAATTCAGATGATGATAATATGCAATAAAGCAAGGGACTTTAGACGAGATACTTGACTCGGGTGCTTCCAAGTTCAACTAGTTGGTTAATGAATCAAAACATCAAGCGGTTTCATTTAATTTTGAACTCAAGGCATGTTAATCTTCTCATGAAAGTATTAAGCATCTAAATTGATCCTCCTTCATACCAAAAATGTCTTTTGAGAAGCATCGAATCAATCAGCAATAAGAATCAGTTCAAAAATGTCATTTAAGAGAACAAACTATCACTCTCGCGATGAAAGACTCTTAAACCCTTAACCGAGTGGTTCAGACATTTCTACAAACACTTTTGATGCGAGATATGTCTCAGATCTGAACCTCAAGTGATGTGCTTGGATCCAGCCTAGAGATCTCGTCGGTTAAAGAATGAAACATGCAAGACTAGACACCTAAACCCACTAATCTACCTTGAAAGCACCCTAATCTACTCATCTAAAGCCGCTTAAACGACTACTCACTAATCATAACGAGCTCACTAAGTCCTTTGCAAGACGTGTAGCTGGTCATGATGAGGAGTTTAATGTTAGATGATAAAAGAAATAAAGAAAGAACAAGATTTTTCATGCAAAAACGAGATATCGGATTAGAATCATCAAGTTTCACCAAAGAGGCAAGTTCTTAAAGCTAAAAACAGATAAGAGATGAGATGATTAGGTTTTTAGTCTCAAAATGTATATATAGCAAAGGTAAAGTGTCGCGGGTCAGCCCGGAACAAACCGGGTACTGAACCGCGTTCTTGGGCTGATGGGTGAGTGCCACGGTGTGTCGGAGAGTGAAGCCGAGGTCTTCATGTCGAGGAGCGCACGTGAGTCCAGATCCAAATGAAGATCTCGTGAAGAACACGTCAAGAACATGCATGAACCCTAGTCTTTGATCCATCTTCACGTGTGTGTTCTTGGGCAGCTTTGTTCTTGATTCTGGGTTCGTGACAATGGACCTCGGCATGAAATGCCGAGGCGCTTGGTAGTCGAGGGGTTTGAGCGAACAGGGGCCGGCATGCACGCCGGGGTCATTGCGCCGAGGTGCACGTTCGACACTTAGTCGTTTCCAGCTTCATTTCTTACGTGTGCATGCCTTGATTCCAACGTGCCGAGGCGTCAGCACGAGGCCTAGTTCAGAATACTCCCAAAATATGAGCCTTGACTTGGCCGATGTCGAGGTAATGATGCCGAGCCCTGAGAAAACACTTAGCGCGTACCGCAACATATTTGGGTTCGTATCGACCATGTCACCTCCCGGAAACAGTAACTTTCAACCCACGACTCCAAATGCTCTGAGACCAGTTCCATAGTCAAGATGACTCAATAAGCTCGAACTTTGGTGAAGAAACCGTCGGAGCTTGGGAAGTGGAAGGCTTCCTGGATTTCACATCTTTGAACCGCATTGGAATCACCGGGGAATAAGCTGTTTGGACCGATGTGAACTCCGGAGACTTTATCTTTCAAACCACTCGTCCGAATTTAGCGATCCCAACCGTTCTGAAAAGGTCTTTCAAAGATCTCAAACTTTGATGAAGACCGGGCAAGCTGGTTCGGTCCGGAAAGGTTCCGTCCGCCGTGATCTTTGTACTCCACCGTTCGGTTCTCGGATGCGCGTAATGTTGGTGCATCTTCCGGAAGCTGTATCTTTCTCCCCACTGGTCCGAATTGGATGATTCCAACTGTTCTGGGATATTTGTTTGATTATCTCCAACTTTGCTGAAGACCCCGCCAACTGGTTCGGACCGGAAGGTTCCCCGGATTGCTGATCTTTGAAACGCGCGGACAAGGACAAATTTTGGTCGAGAAAAGCTTCCCGCGGTAAGGAAAATGGCCGAGGGCTGTGTACCGCGGTAAGCTTTTTGGTCGTAAAAATTCCTTCGCCTCGGCCAAAAACTCAACCCGCGGTATTTACACCTGATCTTCGACCCAGGCTGACTTTGGTCGATCGGTACGGACTTTGGTCGGTGCTGAGCGATCGGTAAGCTTTTTGGTCGAGGTTGAACGATCGGTAAGGATTTTGGCCGAGGTTTCTGTCCGTCCGGTACGCGATTTGGCCGAGAAATTCCTCCAAGCGGTTTTCACCATTTTTGACCTTTTTCTTCACCGTCTTCTTCTCTGCTCCTCTTCTTAGGCTCCAAATGACTCCCAAAGCACCTGATAAGGACTTCAAAACATGCAAAACTCTTTGGGACCTAATGCAAGCCCTAAATCCTATTTTCATGCCTAAAGACTCAATTTACATGGGAAAACACATGATGAGGACTCTAAAATGCACTCTAAATGATGTAAAATATAGACATATCAACTCCCCCACACTTGTCCTTTGCTTGTCCTCAAGCGAAGAGAACAAATGAGAGAAAGAGGTTGTAATGCAGATGGAGCTCATATTTCCTTTTTAGAGAGAAGTGATCACAAAGAGAACTTGGATTCATGCTCAAATATGCAACGTAAAGCCATACTCAGATATTCTATAATTAAAGCACAGAATCTCCACAAGTCATTATCACATTCAACTCTTTCACATTCATTAAGCTCGTAACCGGTGAATCAAATGATGCAATGTTCAAATAGGCTGGCTTGGCTAGGGTAAGGTCATGAGACAAAAATGATCTCATCAATATTCAAGCGGGTGTAATGCAACAATGGGATCACTCAATGAACGACCAAACTTTGGCAGAATGCTAAAGGTAAAAAGCAACCGATGCATACAAGGGCAAGACTCATCACACCCCACACTCCACTCAAAGCTTTTCTCACTTGCTCACCCTCTCAAGATCCTCACTCTCTCAATTGCTTTCTTTTCACTAGGGGACTCACTTTTGTTTTGATTTCCAAGTCTTGGTGTTTACCTATTCACACAGCTCTTTTCTTTTACAGCGATTACCTCTTTTCTTTTCTCTTTAGAACACTTGAGCCTTTTTGGCTTCTTTTCATTTCAGAGACTATACTTTTCTTTTTAGAACAACAGAGCTCTTCTTTTCAAATTCAAGACTCGATTCTTTTTCTTCCATTCCCCTAGCTATTTCCACTCTCTCTTTTTCTCTCAGCTCACCTTTTTCCACTCACCAATAGATCTTTTCCCCCACACTTATTTCTCGCCAATACTCTTAGTTCCTTGATGTTGGAACATAACACTCAGTGAGACATGCCCTTGTCGCTCTAAACCTAACACTTTCTGCTAAGTTCGGTCCAAGGTGGCCTTACAATTCACACACAAACATTGGCTAGAAAGAAAGTTGGGTTCAAGGTGAGGGAACCGATCCATGATGCGGATTCAGCTACTTGAGCTAAGGAAAGAGAGTGGTAAAAACAATGATTCTAGCTCAAGTATGTATATCGGTATCCACAAGCCAATTCAAGCAATGCATCAAAAGATATTTACAATTCAAGTTCAGGGTTATCACTTAGTTAGAGTTGAGTGTAATTTAGACTTGCTTCTCGGATTCAAATCGTTTCAAGCTTTACAAGCACAGAATGAGTTTCACAAGCATATTTAGTTCAAGTTCTCGAGTGATTTACTCTCTAGGAAAAAATCTATCATTGCTCCTTGCACTGATGCAATCCT